ATGTATAGAAATAATAAATTTCTTCTTCATACATTCTCCAGCAATGCCCTGGTCCTGTAGAATGAGCCCTGGCATTTTTACTGTGATTGCCTGTTTTTCTGCAAAATCACAGAAAAAGAGAGATGCTCGGGTCGAGCAGGCTTCTTCATGCGCGTTCACGCTCAGGCATCGCCCGTAGCATTTGCTATCAGTAGCTTTAGCAGCAGAGAGAGAGGCCGTGCCAACTCAGTGACTTTGTCGCTGTTCCTAACACCTAGTGACAAAGCTAGCTACATTTCTGAGGACCCTTAGCTACTTTCTGTAGAACTTTCGTCTAGATATTTCCTGCAAATTAGCAACAAAATAGCCACTTTCGCTCCGAACCGTTCTTTGAAAGTTGTTTCAGCTGTCATCAAGGATATAAAAGTTACTGATACAAAGACGTCACTGGCGCTTTAGCTCACCTAGTAAAATGTCGGACTCTCGTGCAGAAGACCTGGGTTCAATTCTAGATGTGAACACAGTTTATTTAGAGTTTCTTATTTACATTAATGGTATATTTTTTTACAGTAAGATGCCCAAATTTTTATTTGAGACTCGCCGAATGGCATTGATTTCACAGATAAAAAAAGATGTGGGTTCAACTTTCATTTTGGAACAATTTTTCAAGCAACGGAAGGGAATCATCTGAGCATGCAGGACTGACCCATCTTAAACCTTTGTCGGCTGTGCTGAAGAGAAAGGTACATAACCAGATTATTTAATTAATTAGCTGCGCGTTCTCCTGTCCTCTGTCCTCCGGGACGGACACACACACACACACACACACACACACACACACGGGACTGTCTCAGCTGTTATTTTTGTTAAGGAGTGTGCACGTACAGCATGCACGCCTCATGCATGAACCCACTATTGAAGCGGCCATTACGCTTTTGGCCTGAGGGGGCAATCGCGAGCCTAAAAATTCAAAACTCCGTAAAGTCCCTTTAATGTCAGTGAATTTTAAAGACACATTTTTATTCATTTAAATGGAAGTATAACAGATATGATTCAGGGCGTAAGGCACAGCAGGTCAGAAAATTTGTTTCAGAGCCCCATTCATTCACTTCCACTCATTTTTGTTCAGGGCACCCATGAGCTGACCTCAAGGGGAGGAGACTGGCTCCATATGGAATGAAGAGAATGAGCTTCAGCTGGACAGCTGCGTTTATAATGAGACGACATCTTTGTCAGGAGGGATACAACCCATCCTCTTCAACAGTAATGCATGTGACATTGGTCTATGAACAGTCAGATGTGGAAACATCCATGTTTACCATTTGAGAATACCCTTAATTTTTTTTGTGCCTCTGGACATAATGACAATAAAGACTATTACCGTAATTTCCGGACTATAGAGCACACCTCAATATAAGCCGCACCGGGCTAAAAGCCGCAGATATCTACTGAATTGAAAACATAGTTTAACTGAACATAACTGAACAAACAAAGCGGAAAAGTTATTGATTCGTTTATTCATCGTCCTCCTGCGCACTGAAACCATTGAAGTCATCTTCTTCAGTGTCGGACTTGAACAGCCTCAGAAGATCTTAGTCACATACCTTTTCTGTGGCGATGTTAGTGTCGCTCTCCGTGTTGCTGTCATCATCCCGGGGTGAAGCTGGGAAAACACGCAGCGCCGTTTTACTGTGAAAAAATCATCCTGGGTGCTTTCCGTAGCACTCCTTTAACCATTCCTTCATTAGACTTTCTAGCATACATCCTTTCTGGTTGACTAAAGCCGCACCTCATTATAAGCCGCATGGTTCAAAGCGTGGGAAAAAGTAGCGGCTTATAGTCCGGAAAATACGATATATTCTATTTAAAGAGCCTTGATGCTGTTATGTGAACTGCATTTAGATTTAGTCCTATTGTTGAGGATGAATTAAAAAAAAACAATCACATAGGTTTGGATAACAATTAAAACTCTTATAAAATCTGAACCATTAATTTAACCTAGCTCATTTTTACATATTTTAACATTTGTTATTTATTTTGTTTGTCGTGGTTATTATGATTGCTTGTTGGCACCTATGAAATATGTCTCATGCATATACAGATTTAAGAGTTTTCCTTTGAACTGATTTAATGTCCAGATTATTTTACAGGTCAAACATGGCGGCCTTAAACAAGATAAACTGTCAGACAAATGTCTAGCTCCATCAGAATGATCACAGCTGACTGCTGATCGGATTGCTGCAGCTGCAGGATCACACCTTACATACCTTTCTGTCTGAAACACTTCCCACATTGCTGACAGATGTGAGGCTTTTCTCCCGTGTGGAGCTTCATGTGGTTCCTCAGGGAATTCGAATTGGCCAGCAACTTGGAGCAGACTGAACACTGCAACTGGGAGACCAAACAAAAAACAAGTTGCAGCAAGCATCTCTGATGACTTTAAAGGGGCCATATCAAAGAAAAGCCACTTTTAGGAGCTTTTGATCATGTGATATTGCTATTTCCTCATGAAACCCATTTTTGCCTACATTCATGTATTTTCCTGTCTCATGTGCAAGTTAAGACCTGCAGACATGAGGATGGAAACTGAGTGTGTCATCCTCCCCATGAATCTAGTCTCAGATCTGAAACCTGTCTCCCCTGGAAGTAGACCACTAATGCCCAGATTTTCAGAGTTGCGAGTATAGAGCGATTCATTTCATGCCGTGGTTGAGAATGTTTTAGTCTGAAAGTCATTAAAAAATCTGCACCAGTACCAGAGTGGATATTCTGACAAATTATCTCTGTGTTGGGGACAAAACGCCGCTGTGAAAACCATGTGTCCTGTCCATAAAGACACAGCTAATGGCCAGCAAATTTACTTATATTTTAGTTTCATTGATTGTTATCTGCAAAATACTTGTTGTGTCTCCAAAGATCTTTGAATTTGGTCATTTCAAAGCAGTATTTTATTTGACACTCCGACTCACTTCATATGGACTCACATTGGCTAAACAAACAAAGAAAAAACAGTGGAAAAAGAGTGGAAAACATAATACTGGCAAGTGTAGCTAAAGATAGAAGAAAAAAGTTACTGCCGGGATCAGGAGGCGCGCCTGCGCTAAACTATATGCCAGCCTGTCACTCTAACCGCTGGTCCACTGAGTCTGTTACAAAACATGTCGTCTAACACATATCCTGAGCTGGCCATTACATGCATCTTTGTAGACAGGACGAATGGAACGAGACCAGAACAGGTTCAGGGGGAGAAGAAATGCCAGATGACGCAAATGGGTTACATTCTGCTGCATGTAGGAAAAATCGTAACATCAGTCAAATGCAGCCGAGACAGGAAAATGCATGAATGAAGTCAAAAAAGGGTTTAGGGGTATTTATCATGAGGAAATGACAATAGAAGATGGTGAAAAGCTCCAAAAAGTGGATTTTCCATAATATGGCCCCTTTAATAAAGCTGGTATGATTTGAAATGACCTTTGGAGACTGTGTGTAGCTCATCTTGCTGCAGTGGAGGCGGCGATGAACGCGCAGGGAAGGACGTCGTGCATAAGACTTGCCACAGTTCTCACAGGTGTAAGGCTTCTCTCCGGTGTGCAGGACCATGTGCTCCTGCAGGTCCCGCCTCAGACAGTAGGTTTTCTCACAGTTGGGACAGGAAAATGGACGCTCACCGCGGTGACTCATCTGGAAGCAAATCCTCTATTATTTTAAGTAATATGGATCAGCCCCACTGCTGTGAGTGTTGATTCTTCTTTGGTTTCCTGCTGGGGCTTTTTAACAAGGGAGAGGTCAATCTTTTCAGTACACCAGTGCTCTGGTTCTGAGTCTGGTTTGTGTTAAAATCTTTCCTTTCATTTCAGTAACAAGCAACACTGGCCTAGAGGGCTGTCAAATAAGATGATGGAAGATCTGAGTAACAAAATCCACATTTTCATCATTTTTTAAGAATCCTGACTATAAAGGACTTTTCACTCAGGATTTCTCACATGGAAATCCACGTTATAGATCTTTTTAATGTTGAAAATCTAATGACGTTTGACCAGAAATTATTAAAATAAAAGAAGTTAAAAATGACATTTAAAACAATAATGAATCACATAATATTAAAATAAATCTGGCAATTATCTGTAACTGAAGTGGAAATGTGTCGTCTTCTACAATGCCAGAACTATTTCTAAGGTTCTCTAGGGAGGTTTAGGCCTTGATACTGGGAGCGACCTGGGAGGGGGAATTGGAATTAAGATTCCAAGTAGGTAAGGTGTTTGGGAAAATGCTAAATCCGTAATCTGTCAATAATCTGGGGCATCACAACCTAACCCTTACATAAGAGTGAATTTATCATCAGACCATTTCTAAAAGTTTAAACCGGTCTCTTCACGTTGCGTCTAAAGAACTGATACCTTTACAAAGATAATGGGCAGTTTTTCTCCTGTCTCCTTTATTAACTGTGCTAATCACAGGAATCTGGTTAACGTTCTGACATTTTGGGCCTCATCATACTTTCTGGTAAGTGCAGATTATTAATGGAGCATCTAGTCTAGCATGACAGAAAACCTGATGTCTTATTTATGTTTACACTATAGCATGAGGATATCACCTGAGCAGCGGCTTGTCTGATTTCTGACTACTGAACTCTGCTCTTTGTTCATTTGTTTCATGCTTCTCCTTTATGTTGTTCTTTGAAAATAGCAAATAAAAATATTTTTAAACTCTTGGGGAAAGAAAAGAAATGACATCTCTGAGATTTTACAGCGTTCCAGTTAATACATCAGCCTTCAGCTTGATCTCGTAACATCTCTGTGTCATCACTTCAAAGACATTACCTGAGCCACTGAAAAAATACAAAAGTTTGGAAGCTGGGGCTTTTTTTTTTTTGGATTAAATCAATTTTCCAAACCCATATGGGGCCCAAGTTGTTTGACATGACTCTGACCAGAACATCCATGTTAAAGTTAAATGAGAGGAGAGAAAATCAATATAAAAATACATGTTTTACTAATCCACAGAACCACCACTCCCTGTACCTGATGGGCTTTGAAGCTTTCTGCTGAGGTGTAGTGTTTCCCACAGGCCTGGCAGGTGAATGGTTTCTCATGAGTGTGGCTAAACTGATGTTTCTTCAAGTGACCAATCTGGAAGAACTTTTTACCACAGCTGGAACAGCTGTACCGCCTCTCTCGGACCTCCGGTTGCAACTCAGAGACCTTCTCAGCAGGACAAGCTGTGACAACGGACTCAGGGTGTGATGGAGAGACATCTAGGCCTTCAGCTGAGTCTTTGCTCTGCTCTTCATTCTGTTTGGGTGAGTCAGATCCAGCAGGGGGGTGTCGAGTTCTGCTGGACAGACTGTGAACTCGTCGGGGTTTAGCATCTAGACGAGAGCTGCAGCGGACAGAAAGAGATGCGGGGAGTGAGTCGTCTGTGTCTTTGTCTGAAGGGACAGCGTTTGAGTGTCCAACATCTGCTGTGTCTGAAGGAATGTCTTGCTGGATGTCACACTCAGGACTCTGGTTGGATTGGATGATTTTAATTCTCCTCTTCCTCCCAAGTGTGATTGGGTGGCTCCTCCTCAAGCAGCTGTGTTCCTCCTCCTCATCCTGACTTTTCAACTCTTTCTTCTTTGGTCCTTCTTTTGTCTTTTTGGTTATTACAGCCTCGGCCTCTTTAATTTCATCCATGCTTTCCGCTGTCCAATAAAAACATAAAAACTCTCTAGGTTATGATGAAATAAAACACATATTTCCACCTCCTAAAATGCAAAATGTTTTTTTAAATGCATTTCTTGTGTGTAGGATTTGGAAATCGCCTCTTTACCTTCCTGATCATGAATTTGGTGTGCCACAGGGTTCTATCCTTGGTCCTTAGTCATGTTTTTGTAACCAGAAATTAAACGGTCTGTTTTAGTCAACCTCACCTCCAGCGGCCTGAGCTCCATCCATTCATAACGTAACCCACAATGCATCACTGGCCACAATGACACAACGAATGAGAAGAAAGTGTCCTTGGAAACAGAACTGGCACTACGCCCTCTCCGATAAAATGGCAGCTTTCCTTACATTTGTTTTTTCTCTTCTTTTAAACATTTTTGTAATAATTTATTTTTTATCATTTTATACTTTTATTTTTTGGGTACATTCATTTTTTTGTTTTTGTGAAGCACCTCGTGATTTTTATCTTGAGAGGCGCTATATAAAAGATTGTTTTCTTTCTATGTGAGAATGTTCAAAAATAGTCATTTTGGCAAAAATGAATAAAAGAAAATACTATATTGTGATACAGATTTAGGCCACATGGCCTATTCCTACCCAAATGAAAAATAAACCCAGCTTTAATCATTTCATGAGAAAATAACAATACCACATGGTAAAAAAGCTCCAAAAAGTGGATTTTCAATGATATGGCCACTCTAAATTGTTTAATCAGAATAAGAATAAAATAATTATTTAATGATTAAGCTCACACTAAGTTATTTTGGTCACATTTACTTATTTTTAGGTGGTGGTAACGTAATGGGGTGTGCAAAAGCACAATGGCCCCAAGCACATGAAACACGACTGGATAACACAGGCTGACTTAAGCTTCCGGAATGGCCATAAACTTTAGAAAGTTTGGAAACTTTGCTAAAAAGACATGTTTGTGCCAAGAAACCACAAGTTAAATTAACGCTACTGATTCTGCCAAGAAGAGCGGTCAAATAGCCGCCAGAGTAATTAAAAATATTTAACTTTTGATTTTGGTTTCTTTGAATTTTGTCATACACTCCCCACAACATTAACAGGCCGCAACATGTGAGTAAACATTGACTACACTTGTATGTCCATGCTTTAGTGCTTTTATTAATGGCCATTTGTAATAAAACAGTCCACCTGATGTTAGGATTCTATTCCCTGATAATTTGGCTCTTATCAAATCAAATCTTGAAACATTTTTCATTGTTATTTAGGCAAAGTGCTAGTGAATATTCCTATTACAGCCCACGCTGTTTCTTCCTTTAATGTGATTTGATCAGGGTTTGATGAAGGTCTCTGTATTTGCGTAATCTTGCCATTGTACTTAAATATAGAACTCATTGAGATGATTTGAGGCTACAAAAAATAATATTTGAATTTACTTAAATTGAAAACCAGTTATTAAATAAATGTGAGGCTTGAGCCAGATTAATATCCAACACACACAATAAATGAAGGAGGTTCATTCTGTATTCACTTTATCATTCTTTATTTAATTGGCCTTGTTTCCTCATTACCCCATCAGGTTGGTTTGTTTCACTTCTGGTTCATAACATACGCACACGTCCCTTTATACTTTAGTTGTTTTTTCCAGATTAACAATTTGAGCATTCTCAGTTTCATATCTTCTTTTGGTTCTTCTGTCTTTTCTTTTGATCCATTTCAAGGTCTCTTTTATCACACGGTCATTATACGTTCTAGCCAAAATGCGGCTTTTCTTTTGTCCCTTTAAATAAAACAATAACAATGTCACTTCCCTGCAGGGATCAAGCGCCTATCTTATTTTCTTTAATTTAGTGTTTATAATTGTTTTTGAGATGCATTTAAGATTTATAGGCTCAATCTGTTTGAATCAGTACACTAAAAGAGCAGGAGTTTAATAAGATATCCACAGTCTGTAGCTTCTGGGTATTTTTCTGCATGCGTTCCATCCCTCACCGCACATAAAGCTCCACCAAGTAGGAACAACAAAGGTCTGGATGAGCTGGGCTGTCATATTCCTACTTAACCACTGTGCTGCAATGATTTTATGCTCTTGCTTGGTTTTTCATTTACTTGATGAAGAAACTGTTTCTCCTCAGAGTCTTCTCCATCTTGGTTTAGTTTTATTTTCTGCTGACTGGAGTTTTTGCTCACAAAGCTTCAAACAAGTGATTTTAAAATATGCTGATGTGGAAATGTATTTTATCAAACAGATCAGTGACTCATCTGCTCTGAACATTGTTCAATAACTCTTTATCTTCCTTAAGTAAGACTCTAATTACAACCTTTGTGGTAAACAAGAGTTTTTCAGGGTTCCAGGGGTGACAGTGAGGTAAATGTCCCTCTAGCTCCTCCACATGGACAGCAGGAAACAACATGAAATGGACTGAAGCAATCTAACTGTCTACTTGGCTGTAAATGTTTATATTAACACCTTCTGATGTTGATGTGATTAAACGTTTTTAGCACAGTTTGAGTCTTTTCATCAGTGAGAATGAGAATCACACAGGAACATACCCAAATAGACATTTTTATTTAATTTATATGAAACAAAAATGTAAACAGTTTTAAAACAATTGAACAAAAAAAGATTAGGCATTATACAAAGTATTTGTTGCAATTAACCCCATTTCTAGTTACACAGTAAAACAAACCAAAAATCCTCACTGACGTTTACTAAAAGCAGACTTTTAAGAATCATTTATACGACTTGACTAAAGAAAGAGTGACCACAATCAACTAAAAGTTATTTTTAAGACCAGCCAACCCATGGATACTCAATTCTGGGCCTCGAGGGCCCGTATCCAGCACGTTTTAGGTTTCTCTAGTCCAACACACTAGATTCAGTGGTTGAATCGCCTGTGCAGCAGTTCGTCAGGCTCTGTGGAAGCCTGTTAATTACCTGCTGATTGAAATCAGGTGTGTTGAAGCAGAGTTAAAATCAAAACGTGCTGGATACCGGCCCTCGAGGCCCTCACCCTTAAATTCAAAGACTCTGACGCTTTAAGTGAACATATGAGAATCTTTTTATGTCTAATGATTTCGTGTGCCTTTTCTAGCCTGGCAAGCCATCAAAAAGTTTGCTTCTGCTACTGTCCGTCTAGATTTCAAGGCTAGGCCTTTCCAACACAGCAATTCTGGTCTGTGTTGTAAATGTTTAGACACCTCTGACCATATGACGCTACAAAGTGCTATGCATTTGATAAAGAACAGGGGTCTCATTTACAGTGTGGGGAACGTTACTTTAAAAACGTAATAAGTAACTGATTACTTTGTCAAAATGTAACTCAGTTACTTACGGAGTTACAAGATTATAAAAGTAACTCATTACCAAAAAAAAATAACTATTTCATTACTTTTTTCATTAAAGAATGCAAGAAAAATGGGTTCTCCTCTTAACTAAACTTAATTAATTTACTATAAATGACTACAATACTGAAATATAAATGACTAATGACTGGAACATAATAAAATGTATTTCCAAATGGTTTTTATAAAACTGAATTATTGAAATTAATTTGTTAAAAGGTCACTGTGTGATATTTAACAAGACCCCAATCAGCTAAAATTTATAACTGCAAATAGAAACACCTGTAAGGTTCCCGAGCCTTTAAATGGTCTCTCAGTCTACTTAAATTACTAAAATAAATGTAATTTTGAACAGTATTCTAAGTTTTCTAGCTTCACATAATTGTGTGTTTTTAGTAGCATTTCTGTTGCTGGCAATCTAATAATGGCTAAATAAATAAAAGTCCTATAAAATGACACTAGAAGAAGCACAAATCTGATGGAGGACCCAAACACAGAAGAGCTGAAGCTGGGTGGTAATGACACACAGGTAGTTCTAATAACACCTGAGCGCCCATGACGTCTGAGACTGATGTAGCCAGTGTTACAGCGGGACGAAAGAAATGAGCAGAAACAGGTTATAGTAGGATGATGTTGGATGATCTAGGATGGTAGAAGATTGTGACGTCTGAGCGGTGAACGGGTGAGCGGACCTTCAGAATGTCTCGCTGTCACGCCAAGAAGATCAAAGCTGCAGGTCCACGCGTGCAGCAGTGAATCTGCGGGCCGTGATGCACTTGGATGAAAACATTCGCCTCTTTAGCTCCCTATCAGCTGATGATGGCTTCAACACACCACGCAGCTGAATTAGTAACGCACACATTTTCTTATCAGCAACAGAAACGGCGTTATGATAAAAGCAGACGGTAACTAATTAGATTATTCATTACTAAAAAAATATATATTTTTTAGTTTGTGTGCAACTTTGGACCTGGTGTAAACAGGGCCAGATTAACACTTTGTTGTACCCTGGGCAACAATATTCAAGGGCCCCATCATCATGACCCGAGGATCACCATAATGTGCTCACATAAAGAATATATTACTGTAATATGCAGTAAATATACTCATTACTTGAATGCATGACATCACGTAACCCGGCCAGAGTTACCTTTGACCCACCTCGTGTGGACTGACCAATGAGGAGAGGGTCTTAACTTGAGGCCCTCTCTTCATTGGTCAGTCTGCATGAGACTGACTCTCAACTGACGTTCAAAGTCATAGGCAGCGAAGCGTCTCTGTGCAGCGCAAAAGCCCGGGTGGACAGTTTGTTTAATATAGAGTGACCATATTTCCATTTCCCAACAAGAGGACAGGGGATCTGTGCCTATGACATCACACTATGGCAACGCCACACAAACCATGTTGGGACCCATTTTTTGTAAGAACTAAATTAATATCAGATTCTGCCAATAAAAGGGCTCTAAAACAATTCATATGTAGATATTTTGCATATTTATTGCAAAATCTCATTTTTCTGCATTTTGCCTTGGCCCCCAAAATGTCTTGAAACGGCCCTGGGTGTGTGACTGAGTTTTGAAGGTGATCTGAATTGTGTCAGATGTATAAATATTACATGTGTATAACTTATTGTTTTATACAGGTAAAAACGTGCAGTGGAGATAAATCTACCTACATTTTACTTTTCAACACTTTGTTTTGTTTTCTTGTTTTTATTTAACTATTTTCCTGTCCTGTCTGTCTCTCATCTTCCTGCATCGCCTCTAAACTCTCCAGAAAAACTGCTGCCTGGATTCTTACTTTTTCACCTCATCAGTTACTTTTTAGCAGATCAAAGATCTCCTGAACGCAAAGCGGAGTGCGCGTTGCGATGCTGCTTCAGTGAGGTGAAATCACCGCAACACAGGTGATGAGCTCCGCAGTGGCAGAGCGCTTCAAGCACAAATAAGACAGAAAGTAGAGAACATGTGCGGACATGAACGATCGTGTGCTAATTATAGTTTTTTGGTTGCGCCACTTTGAGAATGGACCGTGCGCTGGACGCGGCAGCCTGGAGCACTGCACAACAACGATCATCGCTCTGCCGCTCTCTGTGCTCTCTGCTCAAGAGTCCATGAATGATGTAATATCGGTAGACAACTTTTTTCCGGCTCCCCTGGATGTGTAGGATATCCAGCTCCCCCCATAATTCGATCCCTGCTCCTGGATGAAAAGCCGGACATTTTCATCAATACAAGAACCCCCAGTCCGGACGCCCGGGCAGAGAGTGAAAAGTGGACATGTCCGGGGAAAACAGGACGGTCACCCTAGTTTAATATAAAGCGGGAGGTTACAGATAGGCCTACAGTATTTTGCTCGTGCCCTTGATGCCTTGGGCCCTTTAGAGTTTGTGGGCCCTGGGCAATTGCCCAGTTGCCCATATGGTTAATTCGGCCTTGGGTGTAATCGATGGTGATTAGATGCCAAACAATACTTCATAGACAGTGCAGATCTTTCGAGGTGTAAATTGATGAGACAGCGGTCAACAGAAATTTCTCCCCAGTACACCCCGCCACCATAATGCAGGCCAGCACAAACAAAAATATACCAAACAATAGGTGTGCGCTTATATTTATAACCACACCCACGGTGCAACCAATCACTTGAGGTGCAGAGGCACGTGCACGTACCAGCTCATTCACAGAAGGAAAACTACAAAACATGAATGGCTCCTACACAGCATCTGCAGTAATGCAGGCGCTGTACCGATCTGTCGTGGTGAAGAGAGAGCTGAGAGACCAGTAAAGCTCTCGATTTACTGGTCGATCTACGTTCCAACACTCACACATGGTTACGGGCTTTGGGTAGTGAACAAAAGAACGAGATTGTGGATACAAGCAGCCGAAATTAGTTTTTTCCGCAGGGTGGCTTAGCTCTCCCTTAGAGATAGGGTGAGAAGCTCAGTTATCAGGGATGGACTCGGAGTAAATCTGTTGCTCCTCCACATCAAGAAGAGCCAGTTGAGGTGGCTCGGGCATCTGGTTAGGATGCCTCTTGGAAGCATCCCTGGTAACGTTTTTCAGGCACGTCCAAGCAAAGAAGACCTAAAAGAAGACCCAGGACACACTGGAACGCCTTGGGATTCCCCCGGAGGAGCTGGTTCAAGTGCCTGGTGAAAGGGACGTCTGGGCCTCCTTTTGTCCTCGCAACCCAACCCCAGATCAGTGACCGAAAATGAATGAATGAATGAATGAATGAATGGATGGATGGATGGATGGATGGATGGATGGATGGATGGATGGGTGGATGGATGGATGGATGGATGGATGGATGGATGGATGGATGGATGGAACAACATTTACTGTAAGGTTTTTTAAACTAGCAACAGTCACGGTGATATGGTGTAAAACTACCCCGACATGTATGTGTGTACTGCCCAAGCTGCGGAAAAATACACACCGCTACTTTAAGTCAGACAACTTGTACAATGCCTTACAGCACATTGCCTTCCACAAAGTTCTCTCTGGATTACTGTAGCCTTGACTGGCCTCTAAACATCCAAAGAAAAACATATACATCAGGTTCTTCACCACTGTGTGGATTAAAAAATATATTTTCATTAGAATGATTGGAAGGTAGATGCTTCTGAAGTCATTTGTGTGCAATAAATAATCCAAATTACGTCTCTGAGCTACCGGTTCTTCACTCCCCTTCACTGAGATGCTGCTCCAGGAAGAACTAGACATAAGCTCATGGATGAAAGGGCTAGCGGCCCTAATGTGCTGCCTCTACAGATTAGGACGGCATCTTCTCTGCCTTGCTTTAAATCTCTTTTGAAAACCCATTATTGTGCTTTGGCTTTTAAAACAACATGAGTCTTTGTTTATGGTTTTTATGTATTTTATGATGTGTATCATTGTTTGTTTTGTTTTCTAATACAATTTTAATTCTGCAAAGTGCTTTGGTCAGTTTTATGTAATCACACACATGTGTTCCATTCACACACTGATGGTGATGAGCTACGATGTAGCCACAGCTGCCCTGGGGTGCACTGACAGAGGCGAGGCTGCCGAGCACAGGCGCCACCAGTCCCTCCGACACAACAGCAGAATTCTCTGCTTGGAGCTGGGATCGAACCTGCAACCTTCCGATTACTGGACAACCCGCTCAACCTGTTGAGCTACTGCTGCCCCCCAAATAAAGTTGGCTTGGCTTAAATAGGACAGAGAGGAGTCTTGCAGCGTCTTAGCCCTTATTTCTGTATTCATCATTTAGCTTCCTGTCCCTTCCTGCTACCGAGATGAAAAATGATGTGATAGCAAACCAAATACAGTTACTGGTTCATATAAAACTGTATGTATGATAAACTCAGCTCCTACCTGTACTTCCATTGGAGCCAACTGGTTTGTCAGAGGTCTGGCCTTTTCCCTCATCGTACAACAGCAGCTCTGTTCCCGGATGGATGTGCTGACACAGACGCAGACACACACCCACACACTCGGCCTCACACACCTCTCCACATGCACAATGCATGGTCACGTTCTGCTGGGCTCGGCAACGTGCCTGACAGGCAAAGCTAAGGGGGGTAAAAACAGCAATGACATACAGAATCTCAACATATCTGATCAGCAGGGAGCTAAGATTGCATTAGAGCAATCTGGGAATGAACCACAGCGGGGCGGGGGGTGGGGGGCAGCGGAGAATATAGAGCCCATAGCGTGTGTGGGGTTGGCTGCATGACAATCAGGATAAACAACCATTTGTTTGGTGAATTTGTGTGACTGCGTTTTCTCATTACCCATCGGAGGGAAGTAACAAGATGTTGCTTTTCTTTTCACAGTTTCACTCTGTGGGAGAGAAAACTGGGGCAGTGTTTAATCAGGACACCTAGAAGTACACAGCCTGGAGCAAGAGACAATGTTGTCACAGATGCAACCGTCAAGAAGAAAAAAAAAAAGATAAAAGACAGACAAAATACACCATCAAGCCCACAGGGGGATTGGACCAGTCTGAAGACAACAGAAATAGGAGGAGTTTCTGATTTTAATTAAGACATCAGCTATTAAATGGCAGCTGAACATATTTCACCTTTAACAAAAAAGTCTGGATTTTTCAACATGAGTTTCTTTTGTTTTTCATTCACATTTTTAAATAAAAGATTAACAGATTAACAGCATTACAGACAATACAGCTGCTGAAGTTTAGAGGAGAAATGTTACAGGTTGAGACAGCAAAGAGAGTCTGGCAGTTTCCCAGTCTGATAATTACACACCCACAGACTACGATAATAACGTCTGTGAAGAAGTTAAAACACTAAAGGACGTTTTCCCAAGGAAATGGGCTGTACCAGCAGCATACAGGAACTTCTGCATGAATTTAAAAATTATAATTATTGAAAAACGTCACATAACGTGGCTCTGAGACAGAGGCAAAACGTAAAAATAAAAGTCTGATAAGAGTGTTGTCGACAAGTATGGGTTAGACTGTAAAAATCTTTTTTTTTTCTTTATCTTACTCTCTTTATGCCACTAACTTCACATAATGAGTTTATCGCCTTTTAGGAATCAACTCACACAAACACTCCCATGGCTCCATCCAAGGTTTTACTGTAATTCCAGTGATGCTGAACCCTTTAACAGTTACACATCGCCATCTGTAGGTCAAACCTTCAAACGTTTGTCTGAGGTTTTAAATTGGACCGTCGCTAAGACTTTGATCAGCCTTGGATATAAAATAATTAAAAGAACTCAGCATAAACCTTAACTTTGTGTGAACTTACTTGATCCAGGGGGCTCTTTGTAATGGAGCTTCTTGATTTGCTGACATTTCCATCAGTGTCTAAAAAAAACCAGACATTTGCATTATCTCCAAAAAGATTTTGTTAGCATCTGAATGCACAGGTTTTGTTTTCCTAGCAGGATAAAGTATGTACTTTCATATTTCTGGTAGTAATTATCGTCAGTGTTGGACTCAGATGGTAGATGGACAGGTTGAGCTCAGATTGCAGAACCATTGGAAATCATTTCACATGAGAAGCGCCTTGCTGGTTCTTCTCATAATTTTTCCTCGGTGGAATATTTGGTGAAAATTACAAGGACAGATTCATTATGGGCAGCAGTAGTTCAGAAGGGAGAGTGGGTTGTCCAGTAATCGGAGGGTTGAACGATCATCTCTGTTGTGTCCTGGGCCAAGACAGACCTTGGCGGTTGGAGGGACCGGTGGCACAAGTGTTTGGCAGCCTTGCTTCCGTCAGAGCACCCCAGGGCAGCTGTGGCTACATTATAGCTCATCATCACCAGCGTGTGAATGTGTGTGTGAATGCATGAATGACTGACTGCATTGTGAAGTGCCTTGGGGGGGGTTGTAGGACCCTAGAAGGCACTATGCAAATACATTTACCATTATCTTCCCATGGGGTCAGCGCTTCATTAAATGGTTATACAGTCTCACTAGACAGAGACAGGTTGCGAAGGATTTCAAGGCTGATGAAACAAACGTTAAGTCAGTCAGACACGATGGACTCAGACAGTTTAATAGACGTATGCTCCATTATATTGCAATGCTTGTCCTAGTAGAGGTGCAGCATCAAACATGTGGAAGCTCCAGATGTTTGGAGGCTATATCTCAATCACATAATCAGCAGCATTTCAATTCTACTTTCTGGGGTATGGACAAGTGCAGATGATCAAATGAAGAAAATCAGTTAGAAAACAGCCCATGTGTTTGGTTTGTATGAACTCAACACAATGTTCAATAAGTGAAGCCGTTTTAAAAGTGTCTGCTGCATCGAGCAGGAACGAAGGTCTGAATTATGACTTTTATTAGCTGAAGGGGTAAAATGAAAAGAATGGGGAGACATATCCAGTCTATAAATATAATGTAGGTGATTGGTCTGTTGACTTCCTGTGAGGGTCTAACTAACACCGCTGTTGTTTGTTGTGAGTTTGCTGCATCAGTTGTAGGTTACCGGGTAACTCTTGGAGATCCAGTCTGTGTCGCCTTCTTTTCCCAGCAGAGTCCCGGCCTCCAGCGGGTAGCCGACCCACCAAAGCCCCACACTGCCTTCACAGAGCAGCGAAGGCCCCAAAGCAAAACCACGAGGAAGAACTGAGGACAGAAAGTAGGTGACATCAGAGGGGACAGGAGGAAAGTGACGAGCCATCAGCCTGTAGGAACAACATAAAAAACAAAGGTCATGGGTTACAATTATGCCTTTTTGGGAGACTTTATGAAATGTAGCATTCAGGATCTGTATGCTAGAGGCCCTAAACTGTGAAAAGAGTACAGTAATAATGGTTGGAAACTGTTTAATCAAAACTTAATTTATATGTATACAAATTTTATTTGTATGAAATATGACAAGTCTCTTAGATTATTTTAAGCAAAAAACTTGAAGAGAATACATTATACACTTTATAATTTGTTATTTATTGGGCAAGAAAATGCTGTTCCACAAACAAATCTCTTCGCTCAAATATAAAACCAAAGTGGCTGATTTACATGGGCTAAAAATCCACACTGGTCAAAGCACAGAAACTTTGAATCCATGTTTGATGAAAATTTGAAAAAATAAAGACGCAAAGAAATGTTCACACTAATATTAAAAGAACGTCGCTTTTATAATTGTCTGAGGTAACACTACATAATAAATAAGGATGCAATCTGCTTTAATTATATTAACAAAAATAACTGTAAACAAAAACATATTAATTGTATGCAGCCAACCAGACTCGTAACGCAGAGAAACTCATTGTTGGCCAATATATATATTGAACCAGAGCTAATCGGTTAGCTGTAAGCTACACAGAATTAGTAACTAAGTTCCCGTGATAATATCGTTATGGTTAAAATACATGTATACAGACTGTTGCTAAATACGTCGCACAGGCCAGTGCTGACGGTAGATTTAGGTGTTTTTTAAACAAACAGCCCGAGAGCAGCGACTAGCTAAACAATAAGCAGATATCTGTGAGACATGAACCGTTTAAAAAATCGCTTACAAAATAAAATTACTTTCTACATACACTGTATTTGTTCGGCGTTTTGAAAAGATTTGTTCTATCTTTTAGTCCAGCAAAAACTCTGGGAAAGCTATCGTTATCCAGCCAGAATACATATAACCGGAAGTCCGGTAAGAAACATAGCTTGAAGACTTGGGTTCCGCAGAATTAAAGAGTAGTAGGACCTGGCTGCAGACATCAGCTGGTGTGTCGAGAGCAAGATGGCGTGTCATTACTTTTACCGGAAAATCGACGAGCGAAAGACCTCGGCAGGAAGTTGGTCTTTTTTTGGCGGCCGCTACGTTGTTTTTGTTTCAACCATACTCGGCGGGTTTCAATTGAGGAAAGGTAAGGATAAGGATGATAGATAAAGAAAGAAGGATAAGGATGAAATTAACTAATTGTTGCAATCGTTCTTAGTTCTTAAATGTAGGCACTGTAGCTTTTAAAGCTTTACCAGAGAATTACTGCAAAGGCACCGTGTTTCATAGCTAATTGTATCAATATTAACACGCAGTCTTAAAACTAATGCAGGGAGATCACAAGCTAGCTAACACAAAAGATACATAAATAAAGCTATCAGCAATTGTAGCTTAGCTTTAACTTAGCTATTTGAATTTCTGGTCTCCCTGTTTGTTAAAACAGTTAAAGTAATAATATTAACTTTATATATAATTTAGATATGATATAAAGACCACAATTTCTAATACTGACTTGACTGAAACGTTATTAATACCCTTTTTTAATTAAAAAGCGTAGATTTTCAGAGATTTGTAAGTGGTTTCAATCACTAGTTTTCATACGAGGCTAAAGTTAGCTTCCGATTCGGGAAATGGCTAAAGGGCTAATACACCCAATTTTTCTCTACTCTGACCATTTTTATTCTGCTCTAGCTCAAAACCTACAATACATACACTCTTCAAACCTGTTTTAGATTATTCTGGGCTCGTAGGAATGCATAAAACATAGTTTGTGATTTGTGAAACCTTCCTCTGATTTGTGAAACTTCAAAAAGACAGATTTATGAATTTATTTTTCAGCATCTGGCCCACACTGGAACTGGTCCTGTGCACCCAGAAATAAAATGTATTTTCTGGACAAGCTTAGCTTTCAATATCTCTAAATATTTTTCAGTTATTGACTTGTGTGTGGTGTGCTGGGTCATTCTACTGTGGTTGCACAAATCAGGTGTCCTGCAACAGGTACAATAACTTTGAAATAGTAGCCACTTCTCTAATTAATGCCGCCCTCCTTCTGATTCTGTTTCAGAATAATCCTAACCTTATAAAAAATAGATATTTTTGTCGACTGACTGCTTTGATCGGGTTTGGTTTATATTAATATTACCGGATTTAAGCACATGTAGCTGCAAATCATTCAGGAGTTACAGGCCTTAAATATAGATCTAAAATGAATATCGGACTTCTTCAAGTGACCCTGACAAAACTCCTTACATGTGCTTGTATTCTTCATTTGCTAATAAGATGTATTTTTATCTAAATTACAGGACAATCGAGGCTTTGAAAAATGGAACACAGGCAGTGATTTCAGATGGGGAAATCAAGGTAATGTTTAATTATAATAAATTAAGACTCTAAAATTGGACATAGGATAATGCAATCCCTTGTTTTCTGTGGTAATGTTGCTTATTTTTAACTCTTGTCTCTACTCAGACTGTGTATAAGGATCTCTGCAGCGGTGGAGTGAAGTCTGGCCGCATGTATCTGGCACAATCCAGGTGTCTCGCTTAAATTAAAGCAAAGACTAAAGCCACTGATGTTCCACTTTGCTGATGCACAGGTAAATGTATACTGACTTACAATAAGCTGCATCACATTTATTTATGTGGATGCATGGTTAGTGGGCCACCTGGGTCCGTTGTCTAATGCTGAGAGGAACGTTTTGTTCATTTTTATGTTAACGTGTTTTATAGGTTGACGAGCTGACAGAGCGGATTGGTTCATGCTCAGGAATAGATAAACTAATAAAGAAGAGAGAGTTCCAGTTTCTGGACTTGGTGTTTGATGTCCTTGTTCCAGAGGTACAACGCAGTCTTCAGCAGTGATTGGTATAAAAGTTACTTTTCGACATTTGACAGTGTATGAAGTAATCCTTAACAGAGTTTGGTGGCAGGAGAATCTCGTCTATGCTTTTTGTGGATGATGTGGTCCTCCTAGCTTCACCCAGCTCTGACCTTCAGCTCTTGCTGGATAGGTTCGCGGCCGAGTGTGAAGCAGCTGGGATGAGGGTCAGCACCTCCAAATCCATGGTTCTCGACCGGAAAAGGGTGGCTTGCCAACTCCGGGTCGGGGGAGAGGTCCTACCTCAAGTGGAGGAGTTTAAGTATCTCGGGGTCTTGTTCACGAGTGACGGTAGGAGGGATCGGGAGATCGACAGGCGGATCGGTTCAGCGTCTGCAGTGATGCGGACGCTGAACCGATCTGTCGTGGTGAAGAGGGAGATGAGCCAGAAAGCCAGGCTCTCGATTTACCGCTCGATCTACGTCCCAATCCTCACCTATGGTCATGAGCTTTGGGTAATGACTGAAAGAACGAGATCGCGGATACAAGCGGCCGAAATGAGTTTCCTCCGCAGGGTGGCCGGGCTCAGCCTTAGAGATAGGGTGAGGAGCTCGGACATCCGGGAGGGACTCGGAGTAGAACCGCTGCTCCTCTGGATCGAAAGGAGCTAGTTGAGGTGGTTTGGGCATCTGGTCAGGATGCCTCCTGGACGCCTCCCCAGGGAGGTGTTTTGGGCATGTCCTGCCAGCAGGAGGCCCCTGGGTCGACCCAGGACACGTTGGAGAGGTTACATCTCCAATCTGGTCCGGGAACGCCTTGGGGTCCTGCCGGAGGAGCTGGTGGAGGTGGCCGGGGAGAGGACGGTCTGGAGCTCCCTAGTTGGGATACTGCCCCCACGACCTGGACCCGGACAAGCGGAGGAAGACGACGACGTTGAAGTAATCCTGCATGTTTTTCAGGTAACAAAAGTGTTGGAAAAATGGGAGGGGATGAATCGATATGCAGTTGAGAAAGCCATGCTTCAGCAAATTCATTTGTACCCAAAATAAAATGGTTGTAAAATCAAGTGTTTCTTTGGTTTTATTGTTTTTCACTCAAAATAAATACCAACTAGCTAAATAGTTATCAGCTGTAGTAGTTAAATTCTGTTGCAATGAGCTGCTGTGATACACAATAGGACAGTGTTATGGATATTTAATAACTAATTTTTGTTGCTGGTGAGAGAGGAGTGTTGCTGAAATGTTTTTCACTGCTTCTGGGAGTCCTGTACTTTAGCAATTGGTGTAGGTCAAAAGTTCATCTTGGGCTTAACAATAAAACTGAATATTTAGCCAGTAATATTTTGTTTGCACATTTTGAAAAGTCTTAGTTTAACGTGTTCTCATTTTATCCATATGTTTTTTAATTCACTTTACAGCCTTTTATTGTGTGTGTGTGTATATACATATATGTGTGTGTGTGTGTGTGTGTGTGTATATATATATATATGTCTATGTATGTATGTACTACTGTCATTAAAATTTCCTGTCTGAAGAACAAAGGGATTTAATATTCAATTTTCATGCAACGCAGGTAACAACGTTACTTAAGTTTGCCGGTCCAGATCTGAAGAGAAAAAAAAAATCCGAAATAAAAAGCTTTATCCGGTAAGTTTTGTTTTTTAAAAAACTACTTCCAGTGAAAGTAATGACTTCTGGTTAAGGTAATGACCCACCGTGTAATTTTTCTCTTAAAAGTGTACAAATCGAAGAGAAAAACGACACGGTATGGTTTTGACAAATCCAAACTACTTTTGTGCTTTGTCAATAAAGCGTATTCAAGAAAAAAAAACTACTTCCGGCAAAGGTAATGACCCGAAAAAAACTACTTCCGGCAAAGGTAATGACTTCCGGTGAAGGTAATGACACTTGTTTTTCCGGATACGTCATTTCCTGTCACGGCAAAGACGCCAGCTGATGTCTGCAGCCAGATGCTCTTGGAATTAAACCCCAATACGGATGCATAAGAAGTCTGATTTAATTTAGGCTTGATTATCTGTAAAGATCAAAACACCAGAATTACCTCTAATTTCTCTCCAATAATTAAAAAAACTCAATCTGAGTTAAATCAGTGGTAACAAAGAGATTTAGGTTTAAGAGGACGAGTGTTGCTCTCCAAAGCAGAAGGTTTGTCTCGCCTGACTTATGCTGCCATATCTCTGCATGTGGACAACAGAACTTGTGGGGAAATTGACCGAATACTCTTCAACTTCTTGTGGAAAAACAAAACACATTACATTAGAAAGAGTGTAATAATGAACGACTATCAACATGGAGGACTCAATATCTTGGACTTCACTACCTTAAACAACACGTTTAAAATTAACTGGGCAAAACATTTTCTTAAAAATCCTGTCTCCATTTGGAATTTTATTCCTCACTATATCTTCTCTAAATTTGGTGGTCTAACTTTTATCCTGGGTTGTGACTACAATGTAGGAAAGCTTCCAGAAAAACTTTCAATGTTTCACAAACAAGTTCTATTAGCCTGGTCACTGATTTATAAACATAATTTTACTCCCCATACATACTTGACCTGGAATAACAGGAACACAGTGTATAAAAATAAATCATTGTTTTTCTCTTATTGGGTTGAGAAACAGATCATTTTTGTGAATCATTTGTATAATACTAATGGACAGCTTATGTCTTACACAGAACTCCTAAACACATATAAATTTCCAGCAACTCCCAAAGAATATGCCATACTGTTTGCTGCAATACCTATGGGTGTCAGAATGCTTTTTAAAGGTGTTCTACCAGTTGTACCGCAGAAGGTGGGGGGGCCAACTTCACTCAGGTACCGCACCTGAGTGAAGTTGGCCCCCCCACCTTCTTCAAATCCAACAAAAGTGGTATCAAACCATTGTGCTACGTTTGTGCTGGTTTGTGCTGCAAAAATTTTCGTTTGTGCTACTATCGTTTTAAAGATATTAATAAAAATTTCTGGAGGTCATCAGAGGTCAACCAGCCCCCCCCACATTAATGGAATCAAACAAAACTGGTGTCAATCAACTGTTCTACGTTTGTGCTGGTTTGTGCTGCTAAAATTGTCGTTTGTGCTGCTTCTGTCTTGAAGATATTAATGAAAATGTAAAGGTCAAAAGGTCA